GGCAAACCACTGCAGTTTTACTCACCTTCTCCATGTCTGTGTTTTTGTCATGGCTTGTTTTCCTCTGTTGCGTGTGGGTATCTCTTCATGTATTGTTGTAATTACACATGATTTTTACTTTTGCCTTTTAACCTTTGTACTAGCTTTATAGTTAGTTGATCCACTCACTGCTTTTGCTAAGCATTTGCATTTTTCCATGAGAATTTTCTTCTTTCCTGTATTCTTATTATTTTTGACCTTTTCCTAACGAAGTTCCTTTATCTCAATGGCCATTGTTTTCATTTTTCTCTAGGTGTTCTTAGCCAGGTTACTGAATCAAATACTCAGTCATCCTTGGGCCTGACATTACTTTTTTTGGGCACTAATTTCGCACAGCAGTCACATATGCTGATGCCAAAGTAATTTGTCTTGCCCTTAATTGGCTCGTCATCACCTGCCATACTGAAATCCAGCTCTGAACTTTCTCTTGGTTGGACTTTGTTTACTACACCTTTTGCTTTTTCCTGTACTCCTGTCCAATTGTTCTGTGTAAACTTCTGCTTTTACCTTCCAGCTCTTTTAAAAAACATTTTACTTATTTCTTTATTTTTAGAGAGAGGGGAAGGGAGGGAGAAAGAAGGGGAGAGAAACAGTGATGTGGGAGAGAAATCTCAACCGGTCACCTCTTGCACACTCCCCAGCCGGGGACCCGGCCCGCAGCCCCAGGCATGTGCCCCGACTGGGAAAGGAACCGACGCCCCATTGGGCCTCACTCCTCAGGCCTCCCTTCCTGCTCTTGACTTTGCACGTGTTGTTCCTTGTATTTGCCAGGTTTTTCCACTGTATCGCCCAGATGAAACGTAGTTAGAAGTAGTTTAGATTTGGTGACAAGCCATATTGTAGTCCATATAAAAAAAGTATCTGCTTACAGATACGTAATTTGACAGAAAAATAGTTTACCTGGGACAGTTACTCGAGTTAATGCAAAAGCAAGTGTTTTTGCACCCTACTTTATCACCTCCATTATTACTATGATGTGTACTTGTTACTGTAAGCTGTACCTTGAATTCTAGTATAAAAGAATTTCATTTCAAATATATTCTTGATTTTTCCTTAATATTTATCCCTATTCACATTGATAAAGGGCTACTTTTTATCTGACTTGAAACATTACAACTAAAAGGGATTTGGAGAATTTGAGTATTGTACCTTGGAGGGAATTATTAGGATAAGAGAAATTTAAAGAATTGAAATGATCTAACTTGGAAGAAAAAACTGGCTATATTTTTTTGCCTAATGGGGGTTACCAGTGTAAAGAGATACTTAAATGAAAGAATCAGACCAAAGTTATTGGCATTTGGTTGCAGTGAGTAGTAGTTTGGATAAATTGAAAGACATACAAAAGATACAAACGCAACTGCCCTGCAGATACTTTACTGCTAATGGCGTAAAGCGGCGCTAGGGTTGTGTACTCTGGTTGCGGGCCTTGGCCGGTGCCTGGAGTCCCGGCCTGTGGGACCGCTGTGTGACGGCAGTGTCTGCCTCTTTGACTTCCCACTCAGGTACTTAAACACGAGGTGATCAGGGCTGTGTACTAGTTGATCATCCCACATGATTCTTTCTAGGATGTGGGAAAAATAATTGCTTTCTCTTTATTTCTTTACGGTCAGACCAAAGGATGCTGTGAGCTACCAGTTTCATGGGCAGTGAGATTTTGGAGCATTGTTTTTAAAACCTGGGAGATGCTATAAAACAATATGTGTTCCTCACAAATTACTAGTTATAAGTCTTAACAGAAGCTGGAGGTTAAACTTGATAATTTCTTAATATTCTTTCAGAACTATACTTTATGCCCTGAGCGGTGTGGCTCAGTTGCCACGAAGCAAATTGCCCCACGAAACAAAAGTTCACCTGTTCGATTCCCGGTCAGGGCACAGGCCTGGGTTTCAGGTTCGCTGCCTGGTCAGGGCACGTACAAGAGGAAACCAATCAATGTTTCTCTCACTCTCTTTCTTCCCCCTTTCCGTTTTCTCTAAAAATAAATCTTTTAAAAAAGCAAAATAAAACTATACTTTCCATTCCATTTCCTGGTCGTATCATAAAATTTTCTTATCCTGATGAACAATTTATAACTTAATAGTTGTTGCAAACTTTATAACTAGTAACAGCAGTAGCTATAATAGACATAACACTAAGATGTACCGTGTGTGTTCAGTGTGCAGTGGGTTTGTCGACTACCTGTAATACTGAGCATGAACAAACACATTGTTACTGTGTGGCCTGAGAGTTCTTGCAACATGAATCATCGAATCCAGAATTCTTTGTTCAGTGAGTAGTTTTTGAGATATGAACTATTATTTACTTGTTATGGAGATTATAATGTAAGAGTGAGGTTTTTTTAGGATATTCTCCTTTTGAGAATAGTAAAATCATATAAATTGTCCCAGTGAAATGGTTGAATAGCATTCTCTGTCTTCTTGTTTTCATTATTTTAAAAATGGTTCTTGCCCTGGTTGATGTGGCTCAGTTGGTTGGAGCACTGTCCAGTAGACCAAAGGTCGTGGGTTCGATTCCAAGTTAGGGCACATACCCATGTTGCAGGTCCAGTACGAGATCAGGGCATGTACGAGAAGGCAGCCAATTGATGCCTCTCTCTCTCCCCTCACCCCTCCCCTTTTCCTCCCTCTCTAAAAGCAATGAAAAAATGTCCTTGGGTGAGGGTAACAAATATTTTTAATGGTTCTCTATGCAATGCAGTCTTTTTTCCTTTAATGATTATTTTTATTTAAAATTCCCATCCCTTTACTCCCTCTTCTTTGGTAACCGTCATCATCCTTATGTGAAAACAGAACCGTCTGTTTCTGTTTTTTTTTTATTAATTTTTTTTAGATTACACACATGAGTGAGAGCAGGTGGTAATTGTCTTCCTCTGTGTGACTTACTTCACTTTGCATAATACCCTCCAGATCCATCTGTGTTGTCCCACATGGCAACATTTCATTTTTAATGGCCGAGTAACATTCCCTTGTATGTACGTACCACATCTTTTTTATTCATTCATCTATTGATGGATATCTAGGTTTCATATCTTGGTTATTACTAGTGATGTTTAAATAAATAAATTTGAATTAATGTTTCTGTTTTCTTCAGCTGAATACCCAGAAGTAGAATTGCTGGGTCATATGGAGGTTCTACTGTTAATTTTTTGAGGACTCTCTGTGCTGTTTTCCCTATGGCTGTTCCCTGTTCCCGAGTACAGTCCCCCCACAGTGCACAGGGCCCCTTTTCTCTGCATCCCCGCCCACGCTTGTTGTTTGTTGACTGACTGATGGTGGCCGTGCTGACCGGTGAGAGGTGGTATCTCACCATGGTTTTTAGTTTTTACTTTTTAGCCAAACCCACCTCCCTCCCTTGCTTCTACCCTCCCCCTTAGGTTTGTCCATATGTCCTTTACAGCATTCCTGAAAACCCTTTCCCCCATGGTCCCCTCCCCTGTCCCCTCTGGTTACTGTCAGATTGTTCTTAATTTCAATGTCTCTGGTTATATTTTGTTTGCTTTTTTCTTTTGTTAACTATGTTCAAGTTAAAGGTGAGATCACATGGTATTTGTCCCTCACTGACTGGCTTATTCCACTTAGTGTAATGCTCTCCAGTTCCATCTGTGCTGTCGCAAAGGGTAGGAGCTCCTTCTTTCTCTTGGCTGCATAGTATTCCATTGTGTCATCATGGTTTTAATTTGCATCACAGATGATTAGTGATGCTGAGCATCTTTTCCTGTCTGTTGGCCACCTGTGGATGTTCTTTGGAGAAATGTCTATTCTAGTCCTCGGCCCATTTTCCAGTCGGACTGTTATTTTGGTGTTAAGTTGTGTGAGGGTCCTTATCTTTTTGGAAATGAACCCTTTATGGGATGTGTCATTGGCCAATATCTTCTCCCATTCAGCAGGATGTCTTTTTGTGTGGTTGATAACTTCCTTTGCTGTGCAGAACTTTTTATTTTGATGTAGTTCCATTTATTTATTTATTGTTTCCCTTGCCCGAGGAAACATTTCCCCCAAAATATCACAGATAAAGAGTGAAATCATGGGGTTTACTGCCTGTGTTTTCTTCAAGGAGTTTTATGCTTTTGAGTCTTAATGTTTAAGTCTGAAATCCATTTTGAGTTGATTCGCATTTGTGGTTTGAGAGAGGGACCCAGTTTTATTCCCGGGCCTCCGTGTGTCCCGCTCGCCCATCACCGTCCGCTGGAGAGGCTGTCGGCTCTCCACCGTGCGCCCTCGCCTCCTGCGTCTCAGGCCCACGGCCGCACAGGCGGGGCCTGGTTTCCGGGCGCTGCGTTCTGCTCAGGATCTCGCGTCTGTGCCCACGGCAGCGCCGCCCTCGAGGGGAAGGAAACGTGGTGGGAGGTGGGCGCGCCCAGCGGACCTCAAAGGCAGGCCTGATGTTCTCTGTGTGAGGCTGGATGGTGTTCCGGGAATGCTTGCTGAGTCCTTCGACCACACACGCGTTTCCTAAGTTTCTTTGTACCTACTCAGTATAAAAAAAAACACTGTCAAGGCCTTAAAGAGTTCAAACAGACTATACTTGGAGAGCAAATGAATACGAGTATAACCTAGATATAGATATCAGCACAAATATCTTCTTTGAAGAAATAATTTACAGTCTAGAATCAGCTTGTTCAAAAAATTATTGAATTTTCATTTTACTTATTAACAGCAGTTTTTTAAAGCTTGAAGTAACATAATTTTGTTTTTAGATGTGATACATATTCTGTATTTTTATAATAGAAAATATTGATAAAATTGTATTTCAAACCAGTTTAAAAGTTAAACTTAGGTATCACTCTCAAATAAATCCCACCCCCACCCTCACCTGGCAGCGCCCGGGACAGCCGAGCCCTCGGTGCTGCCCTCGGGGCCCACATGGCGGCGGTCTGCGGCGGCGCGGTTCTGTCCGGTCCCGGGTTCGGGCAGGTTCTGAAAACAGGACTTCGAGCGAAGCGTCTTGTATTCCTTTTGCAGAAATGTTGCTGAGGTGCCGCCGGAAGGGCCAGGAGTGCGAGGATCTGGGACGCATTTTGAACCTTTAAGCGGTCTGACATTGACCTCCTGTCACTGTTAATAAGGAAGAAGCGGGAGCTTAGGACGCATTAGCACCGGCTCGCGGCGGCTCCGCGGCGGCTCGGCGCCGGCAGGGGCCGGCCTGGCGCCCCCGCCCCCGGGACAGTTCCATGTCGCGCTCGCCCGCGCTGCGCCTCGATGGAGGAGGGGTTGCTGAGCGTGCGGGAGGAGCGCTCCTTCCACGTCCGCTACAGGTAAGGCCGCGCTGTCTCCGCGCGCGCTTCCCGGCCCTGCCTCGGGCGTGCGTGGCTCTGCGCCCTCGCGTTTGACTCCGAAAATGCTCCGAGTCTGCCGACCGGGCAGCGCCTCCTGCGAGCAGTTTGCCTTCGTCGTGGCCGCGGCTGGTTTTTTCTGTCCTTCCTGTAGGAGAAGGGTAGTGGGGACCAGTTATGTGCCGTAGTGTTCTGTCCATCGTTGTTCTGTGGAACAGGATATGGTTACTTTATATTTTTGTAACTTCAGATAATGCAGCTGTATTGTAAAGTTGAAAAATATTTCTAAATCTTTGGCAGTCAAAGATGGATTTTGTGATGTGGCCAGCTGAATGAATGAGGTACTTTTTGTGTTACAGTTTTCAGATGGTGATCTTTCTAAATGAGCTTTTTAAAAAATGGGTATTAACATTGGAATGTGCGAGTATTTTTCTAAACATGATAAACTAATAGCCAGTTAATATTTAACGGTAAAATATTAATGACATTTCTGATGTGTTTGGAAACAAAGCAAGAATATCTGCTTCGTTATTATTTAACATTTATTCTGGAAGTTCTGGTCACTGCACTACACTGTGAAATCAGCACAAACATAAGTATTAGACTGGAAGATACAGTCTTCAGTGAGGTGATCAGATGCTGATGAATTCTTGGTCGGAACTGCCCCACGTTCACGGTCAGTAAACGTCAGGACGTGCAGCAGTGGACACTCACAGTGTCTCAAGCGCAGGTCTTGTCACCCTGGGTGTCGCGCACGCGAGCGGGAGGCTGCGGCCGACTGTGCTCAGAGCGGGGCGCGGGGCGGGGGGCGGGGGGGCGGTCCACATTAGGGCGAGTGCCAAGGAGGTTATTCAGGTGAGGTGGGGGCAGTCTTACGAAAAACGAAAGCAATTCAGGTAAAAGCGAGTGGAAGACACGGAACATAATTAGAATGAGCTTTAATACATGAATTGCCCTCAGGCACAGCTCCAGAAACCCGGAGTTACTGACACGGGTCCCTCGTCACTCTCTGCCCCACTGTGCAGCCACCGCTCCCTCCTCAGTGTTGCCCAGGCTCATCCCCGCACCCGGGCCCCCCAGCTCTGCAGTGGCTCAGGCCCGTGGGCGCCCCTCAGACACTCCATCCTCTTCCTCCTGGGGTCCATCGTTTTAGTCCGCCACCGGAGGACACAGAGCTGCTAACCAGACCCTGCCTCCCAGGGTCCGACCTGCGGCCACCCGCCAGCCACACGCAGCCCAGGATGTCTGAGTGTGGCCTGACACCAAATCACAAATTTACCGGAAACATTACAAGGTTTTCTTGTGATTATGTGTCGCAGTGTATTTAATGTGAGGCCCAAAACAATGCTTCTTCCAGAGTGGCCCAGAGACGCCTGAAGGTTGGACCCCCCGGGATCCCTCTGGTGGCTCCTGGGCACCTGCAGGGCGGAGCTGAGCTCACATCGAGTGCAGAGTCTTCCATCACCGGGCCTCCCCTACCCCTTCGTCCAGAGCTCCAGTCCTCGCGGCACGCTGGGCTCCGAGCACGCCCTGCTGTTCAGGTTACAGTGCCTCTGTTCCTGCCCCCCCTGTGACCTCAGCGCCCTTCCCGCTTTCTCTGTGAAGTTGGTTCTACTGGTAGCTAGGAGTCCGCCCGGAGACTCTGTCCTCCCAGAACCGTTTCCAACTCCGCAGCTGGTCTCTAAGCCCTCTCTGCTCCCGGGCCTCTGTCAGCACCAGCTCCGTTAACATTTAATCTATCCGTTCACGGAGACACACGTTTTCTCCTCCCCCGCCACCTTTCTTTGACCAGTAGCTCCCCGGGGGCAGCCACGATGCCTAGCACGTCCTCTGGCCCAGTCCACATTCGATGGAATGTCCACTGGCCGTCACTGGACACAGCCATCAGAGCCACCCAGTAAGACAGTTCTCTGTCCTGCACACTTTTCAAGAGTGGTTTGCCTCTTGATTCTGCAGGAGCCATGGGGAAGAGGGGGTGGACTCTGCCTGCCTGCAGGAAGCTGTAGATTTACCCTTTGTCCAGGACACAGCATAGACCAGACGTGGTTATACATTCGGACAGGACTTCCCCAGGAGAACCCTAAAACTCTGTAACTATTTTTAGGAAGAATGTACCACACAGGTCTCTGGCCTCCTCAGTGCTCCAAAATCGGCAATCTCTACGTCGGTCAGATTGCTATACAATTACAGGTGATGGTTTGTGTCCCTTATATTAGGGGCCGTGGCCTAGGGTAAGTTATTAGTAAATGCTTAGCATGGAATGTTTTATCCATCTGGTTCTTTCATTGTGGAGGTTCTCATCCCTCCCCAGGATTTGTGACGTTGAGATGGAATAATTCTTTGGGCACTAAGGAACCCCTAAGAGGAATGAGAGTACTTTGTACCATTTTGTAGTGTAATTGTGGAGGTAGGGAGAAATGGAGAATGATAGTAAAATGGAATTAGTTTCTAAACTTTGAAGTGATTAGTGTTAATCTCTTTAGGTGTAATAAATAGTATTGTGGTTACATATTTTTAAAAACAACTCCTTATCTGTTAGAGATGCATACTAACGTATTTAACATACTAACATGAAATCGTGCTTTCTGGAACGCACAATACTTGAAAAGAATCTGGGACTGCAGAGCGCAGAGGGAAGCAGAAGTGAAACATACTGATAATACATACCGGTAAATGTTGATGTTGAGCATGGATGTATCAGGTTAACTAATTTCTCTGGTTTTGTTTTTCTTTGAGAAATTGTATTCATAGTTGTTACTATGAATAATAAATCAGTACTTTTCAATGTTGTAAAAAAATTGGACTGTTGCATAAAAGTTGGAAAGAAACACAGTTTGGTGCTGGATTCTGGTTGTTAACGACACTCTCCCGCAGCAGGGTCCAAGGTGAGGAGCGTGGCCGAGCGCCCTGCCCTGGGTGTGGCCGCAGACGGCCCTTCCGTAATGACCCCCGCCTCGGAGGGCTTCGTCGAGAGTTGAGTTTGGTAAAATACGTAGTAAAGTCACTGTGAAAATGGAGTTACCAATCAGAATTGAAATCCAGAGGGTGGTGTGCCCTGCAAAGTAAACGAGAACAACTGGATCAGTGTGGCGGGGCAGTGGCTGAAACCTGGGGGCGGGAGCTGAGGGTGAGGCCGGTGCTGGGCTGGGGGGTTGGGGGGCCCCGAGGCCTGCAGAGACTCGGGGGCTGCTGAGGACAGAGCCCGATGGAGGAGATGCGGAGCAGTCTTGTCTTGTATTGGATGTTAAGTCCTGAATCCCATCATTTCTCTCTCTCTTTTTTATTGACTTTAGAGCAAGAGGAGGGGAGAGACGGGGGAGAGAGAGAAAGAGAAAGACATTGATTTGTTGGTCCACTTCCACGATAGCCTTTGAAGGGAGAGTCAGATTTGGACATAATCAGTGTTAAATCATTCAAAACGACGTAGCATCACCCTGGCCGGGGCAGCTCAGTTGGGTAGGGCATTGTCCAGATATGCCCAGTCTGCAGGTTCAACCCCCAGCCAGGGCACGTACAAGGAGCAACCAATGAATGCGTAAATAAGTGGAACAGCAAATCTGCGTGTCTCTCTCAAATGAATAAATTTTTAAAAATCAATAAAAATTTTTAAAACATGGTTAAGCATCAGTGTTGGAATCTTCCTCTGTTTTCACTGCTATGCTATAAACAGAAGAAACCAAAATTAAGGAGGTAAAAGAAATCTAGTGTGGAAGGAAAGTTAAAAAATAGGAAAGTGGAAAGAAATTGAAACCACATGAGCTTGTGCAGAAGCTGCAGACGCACCGCCGTGTGCTCAGTTAGCAAGACAGACCCGTTTCCTCCCCAGACGGCGGCGCGGTGAGCGTTTGCAGTGGTGAGACCAGGGCCTGATCTTCGACTCCACGAGGGGACAGGCCGCTAGGAGGAGGAATACAGGGGGCTCGGTACAGGGGATGCACTTTGACAGAGATGGTTAGTCCCTGTCTGCCTTCCACTCTTGGGTGTGTTCTTTGTTTTCAACCCAGCGGGCGAACAAATGGCGTATTTCTACTCGCACAGAGACAGGGAGGGTATGAAATTACTTTCTCTGTTACTATTTAATGATCTTCTAAACTATTTATAAGCCAACCTGCCTTGACTGCTTTGCAATTCGATATGTTTGGTTGTGGAGTTGGGAGATTTTGCCAGAATGTTGACTGTTTTCTGATAAAATGCGCCAGAGCCATAACGCATCTCCGAGTTCACCGTGAACCGGAGCCTCCAGGCCTTGGTTCCAGGCACTAGTCACCGAAGCCCCTTTGCTAAGGCAGCCAGTTCCACAGGGCAGCCCACGCCCTGGGTTTCAAGGACAGCTGCAGGGCCAGCTCACTGCCACCGTTTCTGGTGGGAATTAACATAAAATACCTCCTGAAAAACTTGTGGTTCATATGACACCATTCAGCCGATACCCAGATTTTAACTGCTCTATTGTTTGGATGAATGGTGTCTCGGTACGATGTTTTCTAAGTTTGCTTATTTATTTACTTTAAAAATTTATTTTTAGAGAAAGGAGAGTGGAGGGAGAAAGAGAGGGAAGCATCGATGTGGGAGAGAGACATCCATTGGTTGCCTCTCGTACACGCCCCGACTGGGGACTGAACCCACAACCCAGGCGTGCACCCTGGACTGGGATTCGAACCAGTGGCCTTTCGGTTCTCGGGACGATACTCCAACCCACGGAGCCACACCAGTCAGGGCAGTGCTGGGTAGCTGTTTAAATCCAGAAGGCCAGATCTTTGTGGCGAAGCCGTTTATTTGAGGGGGACACTTCCGTTTCCACGGGTGCAGCAAACGCGTGCAGTGCTGCTCCTGCCTTCTCCCCGACTCCGGTGAGCAGCCCCAACCCTGAGCAGGTGGGGCCGCTCTGTGGGGCTGCCCCTCCCGCCCACCGGCACCGGGGCTGGCGCGGGCGGTCCGCTGATCCATGGCACGGAGCTCTGTAGACCCGTGTCCTGTGGAGGGACATTTCGGTTGTCTGTGTTTCTGCTGCTGTGAGCATCCTTTTACATGTATCGTCTGTGTGGACATGTATTTATCATGTACCCATTTCCTAGCAGTGAAATCGCTCCATATGTATTTACGTAGTGGGTAGCAGGCTTAAATTTAAAAATTTTAATAGCAAAAGTAACGTATTTTGTATGTAAAAAGATCTTTTCCAGTTTTTTCCTATGATAATTCTTAGAAGTTCATTGGTTTCGGATTTTAGACAAATAAAGACTACTAGTTAAAGTACCTTGTCTAGCAAAAGAACCCTTAAATTAAACCACATTTTCACACAGGACTGTTTTGCTGACTCATTTCTCTTCACACACAGAATACCGTAAAGTCCTGAACAAAAATAATCTAATCGTTTTCTTTTGTGAATCCTTCCATTTTCAAAAATAGAGTTCTAAAGGACATTTTCACTGTGAAAGACCAAAGTAGACTTTGTCATCTGAAATGACATCAATACAGCGTTTTAAGGTTCTGATTTAACTGGCTTTTCCATGCGCCTTAGACCTTCCCTCCTGAGCCTGACCGGTCAGCGGGCAAGCAGAACGGCGTCCGCCAGAGGCTGCCTTGGCCGCGCTGCGCAGGGCCCTCGGCGAGGGCGGGGCCGCCGGTCCCACTGTGAGCGAACGGCCGCCTTTGCCTCAGGCCCTGGGACTGTCTGAAAAAACTTGTGGACGTAGAAGTTAAAAATGACCTGCCGAGACCACATCAAGCTGCTGTTTATTGCAAACCAGAAGGCAGCCCTGAACCCTTGTGATTGGCTGTTTTTAGATTTCCTGTCCCTTCATCAGATTGATGTTCTGTTTTTATGATTCTGTTTTAATTTATGGCTCTCAGGAGCCTAAAAGCCCTCGAAGAACCATGCTAATTGACCTGCTACTGGAAATACAAAAGTATAACCATATTTGAACGATTTTTGGATGCGTGGATGTTTAATTCAACATTTCATGTTAAAGCAGCGATTCTCACCCGTGGCTCGTATGTGGAAACTGCCTGGGGGCTTTGAAAACACAGGACGGGCAGACCTCACCCCCAGGGAGGGGGCGGGGGGCTCAGCACCGAGGGCCTCGGCGGGCGCCCGGGCGGCTCGGCCAGATCCGCTCGCAGCTGACGCTGCTGAGGCGGCAGTTGGTGCTGCCCCGAGTCTTCCAGGGGTGACAGGTACGCTGCTGGCGGTGCATGAGGGATTTATGTGCTTTTCTGTCTCCGTAGTTACACAGTTTTTAATGTGCATTAGAAAATAAACATGAGCATCACATCGAACTCAGTTGCAGAGATATGAAGCTAGATTTTTTTTCAGTGCTGAATCCGGCCCTCCACCTTGTTTCTCCCCGGTGGCAGTGCTGAGCTCCTGGCCCCTAGTTAAGGAGTAGTTACATGTATCCAGTCCTGAAATTACATTCGGCCCTTTGAAGGCAACCGCCAGGCTGGCGTGGCCCCCGGCGGACATGAGTTTGACGCCCCTGGACTAGACAGTATGTGGACACGGCGGGAGTCACAAAAACGCTGGAGAAACACAGCGGCAACCTTGGTGAAGGGCGTCTGCTGATGTTTCGGGTTAGGGCCTGAAGCGTCGGTGCTTTTCTCCCTGAATATATATATTGACAGGAACTCAGTTCTTCTGGATTTTAAAATTCTCAGTGACAGACTGAGAATTAGAATTTCTGCAAATCTGTAAGTCCTTGCTTTCTAACGCGCAATTTCATGACAGTTCTCTTATGGACACGTGCTTTGTAAATACATGAAGATACGCTGCCTGCTTGTTTCCAAGGTGCAGGCGATGGTGTGGTGGTAACGACGGGGAGAGAATGAGAGTCATGTGTGGCCGTGTGCCAGCGAGCTGGGAGGAGGGACAGGCGGGGGCATGGCGGGGGGGGGGTACCCAGGTACCTGGACGAGAAGAGGAGGCCTGTAGGACTTCGCTTATCTCAGGCGTCCCCTTCTGCGCAAGCTCTCAGGAGGCCGGTCAGTTCAGGAAACACTGTTTCAGGTTCTCTCACTGGTACGGTGGGTTGTTGGCGGGGAGGGGCCGTTAAAATGGGCTCCGTACAGAGAATCCAGCTTTCCTGTGTAAAGGCTGGAGGCCGAGAGACGTCTGAACAGGCAGATGGACGCCTGCTGTAGATAACGGGTTGTTACCCTTTGTCAGCCGTGTGCCCACTTCTGTCACAGAGGCCGCCGTTCGGAACGCGGTCGGCAGGACCCGTGTTCAGGTCGTGCTCCCGCAGGGGGAGACTCTGCAGTTACAGTGCAGCGTGTAAACGTCTGCCGTGCGTCCCTTTGCAGGATGGAAGCTTCTTGCCTGGAACTGGCCTTGGAAGGGGAGCGGCTGTGCAAGTCGGGGGACTGTCGCGCCGGCGTGTCGTTCTTCGAGGCTGCGGTCCAGGTGGGGACCGAGGACCTGAAGACGCTCAGCGCCATTTACAGCCAGCTGGGCAACGCCTACTTCCACCTGCACGATTATGCCAAAGCCCTGGAATACCACCATCACGATCTCACTCTTGCAAGGTGATTAATTTAAGCTTTTTAAAAAAGATTTGTTTTGTTTTGTTTTGTTTTTGAGAGGGGAAGAGAGGGAGAGAAACATCTGTGTCGCCTCTCTAGCACCCCCTACTGGGGACCTGGACTGCAACCCAGGCATGTGCCCTGACTGGGAATCAAATCGGCGACCCTTTGGTCACAGCTTGGCTCTCAATCTGCTGAGCCACACCAGTCAGGGCTAATTTAAGCTTTTTAATGTTCTTTCTCCCTGTATTGTCACTTTCAAACTACTTATATTCAATTAAAAACAAACTAAATACATTTAGTGAGTTCTAATTAAACAGCACTGCATTTTAAAATGACTCTTCAGGCTGAGTTTAATTAAATGAGTGAACAGTACTGAAATGACCCTAGAGGTTAATCAAATGAATGTAAATTAATTAAATTTCAATACAGAAATGTAAGTTTTAAATTTTTATTCAAAGTAGGTTTCACGGCTAATGGGTCTTTCTTACTTTACACATGTTAACTGTCCTCTAGAGAAAACTTACTCTGACCACTTTATATTTTAATACAATACAGTTTGCTTTCTTTTTTTTTCCCCCCCCAGGACTATTGGAGACCAGTTGGGGGAAGCTAAAGCTAGTGGTAACCTGGGCAACACCTTAAAAGTTCTTGGGAATTTTGACGAAGCCGTAGTTTGTTGTCAGCGACACTTAGATATTTCCAGAAAACTCAATGACAAGGTAATAAGGAAACATTTTTTTCATTGAAGTTGCTTTGTGTTTTAATTCTCTCTTTAATCATGCAGTAGTTTTTCTGAACGTTAATACTGAAAACATTCATAGAAAAGTAGGAGAAAAAGAAACATACGTTTTTTAAAGATTTTATTTATTTTGAGAGAGGGAGAGAAACATCAGTGTGTGGTTGCCTCTCGCTCGCCCCCCACTGGGGACCTGGCCTGCAACCCAGGCGTGTGCCCTGACCGGGAATCGAAGCAGTGTGACCCTTTGGTTTGCAGGCCGGCGCTCAGTGCAGTTTGCTACACCAGCCAGAGAGAAACACAGACATCTTTAAAAAATATTTTATTTATTTATTTTTAGAGGGGGAAGGGAGGGAAATAGAGAGAGAGAGAGAGACATCAATGTGCAGTTGCTAGGGGTTATGGCCTGCAACCCATGCATGTACCCTGACTGGGAATCAAACCTGCGACACTTTGGTTCGCAGCCCGCGCTCAATCCACTGAGCTATGCCAGCCAGGGCTAGAAACAGACATTTTTAAAGACAGGAAAAAAGTAAATAGTGAGAGGCCCTTCTTTCGTCAGCGATCATCAGTCTGGCTCTGTCTGGGCAGCCAGCGGACGCCTTTCTCCCCCTTGACCGTGGTGGGAAGGACGTCAGGAACAGAGGTGTGGGGCAGGCACTAGGGCCCCTGAGCTCTGATGCCCATGTGTGGCGGTAAAAGCTCTGCCGGGTCCTCCTCTAGGTGGGAGAAGCGAGGGCGCTGTACAACCTGGGCAACGTGTACCACGCCAAAGGGAAGAGCTTCGGGGCCCCCGGCCCTCAGGACGCCGGGGACTTTCCAGAAGAAGTGCGCAGCGCCCTGCAGGCCGCCGTGGACTTTTACGAGTGAGTAGTGCTGCGCGGCCACCGGGCCCCTGTGCGGGGGTTGCTCTGTGTTCTTTAGCCTGTAGGAAACTTGAACGTGGGCAAAGGTTTTTAAATTACGGACTAGCAAGTAAAAACAAACCATGCAATTGTTGCTAAAAGGCTGTGGAGTTGTGGTACAGTGTCCTCCCCCAGGGAAGGTTTCATGGGAACTGCAGACCAGTGCCACCTGGTGGCAGAAACAAGAAGTATCTCTGGTTGGTTTCAGTTAGTAGGGGGAAGTTTAGTCCCTTATTAAGAGAATTTCACAGAATTTCTTAGCTTAGGGGTTTCTTTCCTTTCATTTTTTCTTGTTGCTCAATTACAGTTGCCTCAGTTCCCCCCATGGGGTTTCGAGATCAATCCGCCCTTGACCCTGGGTGGGAACCTTCAGCCCATTCCGATGGCCGCCCTCCCTCACAGACCCGTCTTTAAAATGTGGCTGCGGGCTTATCTGAAAGTGTTTTTATAAAAGGACTTAGTTTGTGAATCTAGTCCACAAACCCCTGACCCCTGACCTGTCTTTTCTGCACCCTTCTGTCACCACACCGCACAGGGAAAACCTCTCGCTGGTGACGGCGCTGGGCGACCGCGCCGCCCAGGGGCGCGCCTTTGGGAACCTGGGGAACACGCACTACCTCCTCGGCAACTTCAGGGACGCGGTCATAGCGCATGAGCAGGTGCGTGCCCTGCGCCATGAGCAGGGGTTGGGGGGGGCAGCTCTTCGCGCATCACAGCTGTGTCTGATCCGTGTTTCCTCTTGCAGCGCCTCCTTATTGCAAAGGAATTCGGGGACAAGGCAGCGGAAAGAAGAGCGTACAGCAATCTTGGGAACGCATACATATTTCTCGGTGAATTTGAGATGGCCTCTGAGTACTACAAGTCAGTCCCATGCTTCTGTAGATGAATGTGGAGTGAGTGGTTGCGCACACCCGTTAGGCCTGAGGCAGGTCTCAGACCAGCCCTTGGCTGTACGTGAGCAGCCGGACCCTGGGCTCCCGGCCCTCGGTGTCCGCTCCTGTGAAGGGAGATGTCGGCACCCTGCTGTGGGGGCCTGGGGCGGGCGGGCCGGGAGAACACGTACGCCCTCACTTGGTGTGGCGCCCGGCACAGCGCTCCATGAACATCACTGTACCCGAGGTTGCGTAGCTGCGGTACGACCCCTTTATATTTGACTACTTTTTACCTTTAAAACTGAGTGAAATTCTTAACTTGTTTAGCCTGTGTAGTATGTATATTTACATGCTTTTTTCCCCCACCCAACTTGCAGAGGGGCCATGAAAACGCCTGGTAACCCAAACATGCCCTCGTCTGCCCAGTGAGCCCTGACTTCTCTGCCCGTCTTAGGACCCCCCCGCCCCGACCCCGCCGGCATTCCTTCCGGTCCATCTGCAGACTCCGAGCCATAGTGGGCAGCGGAGCTCAGACCACCTAAGCTTAGGGCCTGGTCTGGCCATCCCAGAGTGCTTGGAGAGCAGCCTGATTAGTGGGGTTTGCGGCCCATGAGGAAATACTCCGGACCAAAGAGTCGTTTACATTATTGGATCCATAAGCATTTATAAGGCCTCACAGGGTGGCTCAGTGGGTTGGCATCGGCCTGCAGACCACAAGGTCGCTGGTTCGATTTCTGGCCAGAGCACACGCCTGCGTTGTGGGTTCAGTCCACAGCTGGGGGCGTGTGAGAGGCAGTTCATCGATGCTTCTCTCTCCCATTGATGTTCCGCTCCCTCTCGAGATTTCTCTCCCCCTTCCTTCTCCCCTCTCTAAAAATAAAAAGTCTTAAAAAAAAAAACATTTGTAGGCATGAGCACTGATGATAACAAAACAGTACTAAGCTTGAGCAGATTGCCTTCCCTAGCACTGTGCGTACCGAGTCACCTGACCCTCCCAGCGCCCCGGGAGGTGTCTGCCCGTCTCCCACGTGGGAGACCTCGCCCGGCCAGGAGCTCCGTGGGGGTGGACCCAGCACGTCCAGCTCTCAGCTGCCGCACTGCCGCCCGGTTTCTCACCGACGGTTCCACGTGCATTCGGCAGAATTCAGTCAATGTTTAAATCTCGTACTTAGTATTTTTCCTCAACTGGTGACTAACAGCCTACAAATACGAGCTTTAACTCAGTAATTTAGATTCTGACGACACGTAAAGGCGGCAGCAGGATTAAAAGGAGAGCTCTGCGAACAGCGTCTCCCTGACGCCGAGTCGCTGCCACCGCGGCAGGGGATGTTTTCTTCCGCGTTAACACCACCGTGTTCGCGAGAAGCAGTCGGCCTCGTGCGTCCTCACTCCTTTCCTCTGGAAAGCGCACAGGCCTCGCAGACTAATCATGGAGGCCGGTTTGCTTCGAGTGTCCCAAAGGCACCTCTCCCTCTTGCCTGGAAGCAGTGGAGGAAGTGCAGGGTGGTCGGAAGAGTGAGAGTGTTCCTTTACGGTTCTAGCCAAAAATGAAAGGACTCTCAGGTGAGTGAATTTCTCCTTCAGAAAGACGCTGCTGCTGGCCCGGCAGCTGAAGGACAGAGCCGTGGAGGCGCAGTCCTGCTACAGCCTCGGCAACACGCACACCTTGCTGCAGGACTACGAGAAGGCCATCGACTACCACCTGAAGCACCTGGCCATTGCTCAGGAGCTGAAGGACAGGTGAGTGGCGCCACACGGGGGCACCGTTTGGGTCCTGGAGTTCTTGCTCTGTCTTTCACGAAGTCTGTGTATGTGCGTGCGTTCTCTCTTTTTCTTTTTCAAGGAATTTCCTCTGTGTCACCGTGTCACTGACAGCCTCTCTGTTCGTCTGCGGGCCAGCGTGTGTTAGAGGCCAGCCTGCCTCTGTGTGGCCTCAGACCCAGATTGGGACATAGGTCACCGGCTCCATAGCCCCAGAGGTCCCCCCGATTCATTTGCTCAGCATGACACTGGGGGGGGGGAACATGTGGTCTGACGTGACAGGGACAGCCGCTCCTCGCCCTGGCTGCCGGCAGGAACAAGTGTCCACTGTGTCCAGTTCCCCGTTTGAAAGAGAAGCGAGAAGACCTGAGTTTCTTACGAGTCTTCTGACGTTTACTGTTGGTGGCTAACTCCTTCCTTGCCCTGTACAGAGACAGCGCGCACACACACACACACACACACACACACACGCAGGCTGCTCGCCCGAGTCGCCTGCTTTAGAACACTGGACTCTAGCTCAGCACGAAGGAGACCTTCCCTCCACAGCTGTGCGTGCATGGCCTGCGGGAGTGGGTTCTCTCCCCCGACGGTGGTCAAGCACAGTTGAAGGTCACCCTGGGGCTGCCGGGAGAGGCAACGGGGTGCCCGAGCTAGCAGACCTGCCCCTGAGACTTCATTAGGTTACAGCGCATGCCTGTGCACAAGGGGGAGTTTTAATGCTTGTTCTGGGGGTTCTCGAGTCTCTAGTACTGTCATAGTAGGTTCCTTATATCTAATACCAAGTAAATGCAGAGCATCGTCTGTACCTCTGAGTAATGCTGGGTGGCCTTGACCCGCCCCCCACGAGACCTCCTTCAGACACCTGCATATCCTTGGATCGTCCTGTAGGATCGGTGAAGGAAGAGCGTGCTGGAGTCTGGGGAACGCGTACACAGCCCTAGGAAACCACGACCAAGCCATGCACTTTGCTGAAAAGCACTTGGAGATTTCAAGAGAGGTAGGAAGCTGAGAAGCTGGTGTCTGTGCTACCATGACTCACAGTCAGCAGGGGGGCCACCCTGTGACTCCTCTGGGTTGCTCCCAGACGGCTGAGCAATGAGTTTGTTAGGTGTTTTTCTCTGGGCATCAGGTTTGCGCATGGTGAGGCCAGGCGCCGGGGAATGGAAGACCCCTGGCCTCTGCCCCCCACCCTACCCCCATGTCCCCATGGCCGTAGGAAAACACAGCTTGGAGTCAAGTCCTGCCACCTGCTCTCTGTTTGCTCTTGGAAACCCTTCTGAGCCTCACTTCTCTCATCTGTAAAATGGGACTGTTTACCTTGCAGATCATTACACGGATGAGACATTATGTGTGTGTATATATATATATATATATATATATATATATATCCCTAGGATAATGTGCTGATTTAATGAATAAATGTTAATTATTAACACAGTATAGAAATAGTCTGAGGAGGTTTAATTCCTATAATGCCAAGTTAATGTGTCACAAAAGAACCACATTATTAGACCACAGAGATAAAGAGCCATCTAATATTTGAAGAACTGATGATAGAATATAATTAGCTGTCCTATCATATTTTAGAAACTTCCCTTTTCATTCTCCTTTAAAAAAAACTATTTCATTCATAGTCTCAATTCCAGTGTAACTACTTTTATTCAGTGGTAGGCTCACAACATTCTCTGTCTGCACGCTAAAGCAGGATCGTCTGTGGTTGCAGGTCGGGGACAGGAGCGGGGAGCTGACGGCGCGGCTGAACCTCTCAGACCTGCAGATGGTGCTCGGCCTGAGCTACAGCACAGACAATTCGGCCGTGTCTGAAAACGTCGAAATCGACAACAGCGTGCACAGTGAGTAGCAGGTCCTCAAAACTCAGCGTTTCCATCCTTAGGTTTCACATTGAATCAGCCCCCTCACGTGCACCACGTTCAGAGAGAGGATGCAACACAGGAAGCCCAGCCGTTTACTAACACAAAGGAATGAAATCAAAACAAGATTCAGGAGACCTCTTAGAACCCCCAGTCTGGTTCTTTAGAAAGACTAACAGATCTACAGCAAGATTATTCAGGAAAAGGGAGAGGAGTGGACATGATATAGATGCAGCCAGAGATTTAAAGGATAAGAGATTATCCTGAATAATTTTCTAAAAAGGATACTTGAAAACCGGGGAGAAATGGACAATTTCTAGAAAAACAAGTTACCAAAACTAAAAAAGCCTCCTGGTTGAGATGGGATGGTGGAGAAACCTCCCACCAGCACGGTACCTGACCAGGCAGACAGCGGGCAAGGCCCACTGGACAGTGGGGACACTTTCTCAGTCCTCCTAGGACAGTGCAACCTTGACATCCAAACCAGACAAGAGCGGTGAACTGTGAGCCGGCCTTCACTCATGCTCACAGAGGCAGGACCTCTAAACAAGGGACCAGCCAACCAGACCCAACAGTGCACACGCACTACACAGAAATGCAAGCGGGCCGAACACCGGGGGATTGCTGTAACTCACCGTCAACACGGTGAAGGGGAACCAGCCCAGACGCCCACATGTGTCCTTCATTCTGTAAATGCAGGCGTTCCATGTGAAGGGTGGGGGTGTCAGGCCAGAAGAAGTAAAATCCAACTACTGCACAAGAAGTTTCTAAATAATGTAAGAACATCGTACTCCTGAAAAGGATAGAAAAAGATACACCACTTACTAGGAAAAACTAATCAAAAGAAAGCTCATACAGCTTATTAACATCAGATAAAATGCACTCTAATGCAAAAGGTCTTGTCAGACGTGAAGGGGTCCCTGGCCCGTCTGCCTCGGTTGGTGGGGTGTCGCAGGCTCAGTCACAGGTCAGGGTGTGTAAGGATGGCAAACGAGACACGTTTCTCTCCTTCTCCCTCCCTCCCTTCTCTCTCTCCCTCAAGGAAGGGAGACCACTGGGGACCTGGCCCACAACCCAGGCATGTGCCCTGACTGGGAATCAAACTGGGGACCCTTTGGTTCACAGGCCGGAGCTCAATCCACTGAGCCACACCAGCCAGGGCTGGAGTAACTTTTTAGTATGTTTCCTGACTGGCAGCAAATCTTTCATCTACTGAGATCTTAAAATGGGAACGGGTAACTCTGAAGTAGTAATACAGTATTGGGGGTGTCACTTTGTTTCTTATCTCAAAATTGAAGGCCTAAAGCCTTTCCCAATGTTTCCACTTATTTGTACCACTCTCCAGTTTGTCTGGGTTCTTTTAAGAAGCTAGGAACTAATTATTATAAAACAGATTTTCTAAATAAGGGGTAATGTTAGTAATCTAGTTTCTAACCAAAATGTAACCTCCTTACATTGAAGAATTTGAGTACATATTCTATTTTTATTGGTATGGAAAATTATTACTCTTAAAAGATCATGTTTGTACTTTTCCTCCTTCCATAAGGGTTTGTGAACAGACTTTAAAATTCATTAATAGCCCTGGCCAGGTCGCTCGGTTGGTTGGAGTGTCATCCGTGCACCAAAAGGTTGTGGGTTCGATCCCCCGTCAAGGCACGTACCTGGGTTGTGGATTTGGTCCCTGGTTGGGGTGTGTACGGGAGGCAACCAATCGATGTTTCCCTCTTCCCCCGTCCTCTCTCTAAAATCAGTGAGCACGTCGGTGGGTGAGGGCTAAAACAAAATTCAGTAACAGATTATGCAGTGACACTAAATCTGTGGTCTCTGAAGTCTCGATGCTTCACTCAGTCACCTGCTCTGTCACAGGCGCGCGCCCCAAGTCCGGGCGCCGGCACAGCATGGAGAACATGGAGCTGATGAAGCTGACGCCGGAAAAGGTTGGCGGTTTTTACGTTTTCAATTTCTTGAACTGTCACAGTATTTTCAGTAACCTTTAATGAGGTAGTTTATAAAATTACAAAGTAATTCATCTTATTTTTAAGGTACAGTTGATTCTCATTTGTGGATACTCTACTTACAGACTTGGATGCTTGCTGAGATTTGTAGCTTTCAAATAATATTTGTGCTACTTTTTTGCCCCTCGTCCCCATGTAAGATCTTCTTTTAAAATTGAGGTTATGTTAGTTTCAGGTGTAACACTGATTCGATATTGTACACATTGCACAATGACCACAGTAAGTACAGTTGACACTGTCACCGTAACCACAGAACGTTCTGCTGGTGGCGAGAGCTGGTTTACTCCCGGCCCGCCTCCGTCACTGAGCTCCCTCATCACCGCAGGTGCACGCCTTCTGACCCCCGTTACCCGTTCACCTGCCCCCCCCCCCCCCGCCTCTGGCAACTACCAGTCTATTCTTTGCATCTGTGAGCGTGGGGACGGTTTGCCTTTTTTTTTTTTACATTCCACACACATGAGATCACATGGTGGTGTCTTCTGTCTGAATTATTTCGGTTGTCACACTGCCTGCCCTCAAGGCCCGTCCGCGCTATCACAGGCGGCAGCATTCCGTTCTTTTCTATGGCCGAGTACATACCGATTTTTTACATACAGCCAAAATTTCCAGTTTTAATAGATATTTTAAGTAATTCACATCCAGAATAAAACTTTGACTCTTTCTCTGGTCATTTAAATTTCAGTATTATGGGATTTGCCAAACCTTCTTATTCTTAGGTTCTTAAGGTTTTATTTTTAGAGAGGGGAAGGGAGGGAGAAAGAGAAGGCGAGAAACATCAATCCATTGTCTCTTGTATGCACTTGGACCAGGGAGCAAACCCGCAACCCAGGCACATGCCCTGACCGGGAATCGAACCGGCAACCTTCTGGGTTGCGGGATGACACTAAACAGCCACACAGGCCGGTGGGGCTCTTATCATGTTTTTAAAAGCCACCGTATTGTTTTGATGACGAGAAATCCACAGTATATCTGGTACAAGCTATTGAAAACAGTGAAATATCCTGGCACGAAGGAATTAAAAGATCAAAGCCTCACTCCCCCCACGACTAAATGAGTGGATGGCAGGTTAGTGTTACAGGAAATCAGAGGTAGTTTTGGTGTTTTTTCCACATCCTGCTTTACATTTACATTTATCATTTTGCAGGTACAGAACTGGAACAGCGAAATTCTTGCTAAACAAAAACCTCTCATTGCCAAACCATCTGCAAAGCTCCTCTTTGTCAACAGATTGAAGGGGAAAAAATATAAAACTAGTTCCTCCGCTAAAGTTCTCCAAGATGCCAGCAACTCCATTGAGCACCGAATTCCGAACTCCCAGAGGGTATGTTGTATATTGAAAATAAGTTTTCAAGTGTGTGAGTACGGCAGTCCCTCCCTCATCCATGTTTTGCTCTCCAAGACTTCAGTTACCTGTGGTCAACTGCAGTCCGAAAGTGTTACATGGAAAACTCCAGAAAAACAACTCACGTTTTGAAGTGCACACCGTTCTCTGGGCAGCGTGATGAAATCTCACGCTGTCCTGCTCTGTCTGGTGTCTGGGCCCGGCCGGGCCGGGGCTCATCTTTGTCCAGTGTCTCCACGCTGTCCGTGCGCCCTGCCTGTGAGCCCGTCACCAGCAGCTGTCATGGGTCGGCCGCGCTGGTGTTCAGATGACCCCACTCCACTCGACAATGGCACCAAAGCGAGGGGGCAGCTCGGAGCCCGGGGTGTGTGCTGAGTCAGTGGTGGCTGCATACCGCACTCAGGATTTGAGACGGTGCCCCTGAACCTGACGGACGTTTCTTGAGCCTTAGAAATATATGGAGTAAAAACCAAGATATGAGAAACGCTTCTTGTTGGATTGAAACATCTCTTTATTGATAATGTTGCCATCTTGTATTCTTTTTAGAAAGTAAATGTCTGTTTTTAATCTTTCCATTTTGCATTTGAGTATATCAAGGTATTGTTCCATTGATAATCTGAGGGTAATGCTGGAATTTAGATTTTTCTCTCAATGTTTCAGAAACTCAGCGCAGAGACTATTGGAGACGAAGGGTTCTTTGACCTGCTAAGCCGATTTCAGAGCAACCGGATGGACGACCAGAGGTGCTGCCTGCAAGAGCGGAGCTGTGGGCCCACTCCCCCGCGAGGGGCGCTAAAACGTAAGTTATCTATGCTTCACCCCAATTCCAGGAGTTCCCTCTGACTTTCCTGTGTTCTCTGAGAATTCAGTTCTGTCTGAGGAGACACAGTAACTGAGCCCGAGTCCTCCAGGTGTGTCTGAAGCGCTGGTCTCTGGACAGGTCCCAACGAGGTTTTCTGTCACTTCCTGAGTTTAGCTGTGTTCCGTGTGCAGTGCACCCTCTACTAACTGTATCACACTGCCTCCCTAATTTCTTCCGGTCTGAGGAAAAAACCCTAACACATAATAAGAAAAAAAATTAAAGTTCTACGTACCTTAGGTGTAAAATGCATCATGTCTAGATGACAGAAGAAAAGGCCTAAAGAGGAACTTCTGCCTAAGGCTGCAGCTAAGGCCTGCCGGAGCCTTAGAAGGACCTAGAATAGGAGCCTGAAATTTCCCTGTCTCAGCTCCTAGGAGAGTGAGGAGTGCTGGCCCACTCGTCCTGGGAAGCAACTGCTATGTACGCAGCCCGAGTCTCGGAGGCACATCCCTGAACCACCGCCAAACGGATCGCTGGGGACTCTCGGGGTGCACTGCTCCCCATCAGTGGCAGGGCTCAGCGGGACTGAGCACAGCAGGGTGTAACGTTGAGATGGTTTGTCCGGTTCCCAGCACTGTCTGTCCCCGTGGTGTCCCCCAACACGGATGAGTTCCTGGACCTCCTTGCCAGCTCCCAGAGCCGCCGCCTGGACGACCAGAGGGCCAGCGTCAGTAACTTGCCGGGGCTCCGCCTCACTCAGAACAACAACCAGTCAGTCCTGGGCCACCTGATGACCGATGACAGCAAAGAGCCCGACGAAGACTTCTTTGACATCCTTGTAAAATGTCAGGTATGTGGATATTTTCACCACTCTGGGTATGGCTTAGGTGCTGTGGGGAACCTTGGCCGTATTAGAATTCTTGACAGGGCTCAGCTGCTGGTCTGGGCTGGTGAGGGGCAAAGACTGAAGGCGCCCCCCCCGCCATGCTCGCAGACGGCACGGGAGCAGCTGGTGAGCAAGTTCACGAGGGCCCCGTGTGGGCAGCCTTCACATTTCAACTGTTTCAGTGACTGCTAACCGGTGTGGTCATGGAGAGAAAAATAAGTATTTTCACTAAGGAGACACTTCCTCTGCCTGACCCCATTTATAAAAAGATGACATGAGGATAGCAACTATTCGAGAAAAAATTACTGAACACCTCTCCTAGGTATTACTCCAGACACTGGAGCTCCAGAGGCATTATTCAGTGTGTTTGTACGTCAGGTCAAATACTTCTGTAAGAAAATTAAAGCAAGGCACAGGGGTAGTGGCTGGAGGAGTGTCTGACGTAGGTTCAGAAGACGTTTCTAGACTGACCTTCAGACAGAGACCTGAATGAGGTGAAGCGGGCAGCCATGGAGAAGAGCATTCCACAAGGAGACAGCAAGTCCCCAAAGCTTATCAGCAGGTTCAAGGAGTGGTAAGGTGCTCAGTATGACTGCCGTGGCGTGACCAAGGGGGAGGAGAGGGGGAGACACCCGAGGGCTCTGCTGACTGCCCGGCTGGTTTTGAAAGGGGCAAGGGGTGTCACTGCACTAGTTTCCTCGCTGGTTTTTGCACTGATTCAGGGGAAAGACAGTGGTGGCAGTAGTGACAAGTCGTCTGACGAGGGGTCCGTTCTGAAGTTACAATGGAGAGGCTAGACCCTGCTCGTCAGCTGGACGGTGGGTGTGAGAACCAAGGGTGACTCCTAGCTTTTCGGCTTGAACACTGAGTGAGGGGTGTCATGAAATGACATGGAGAAGTAGAGGAGAAAAGCCAACGCTCTACTTTAGAAATGTGAATTAAGCTCACCTGAGGAGACATTCAAGTTGAGAAGGCGATCAACACCTGACCCCACGAGAGAAGTCGCCAGCAGATCGCTGGTACTGAAGCCCTGGGCCGAGATGCGGGCCGAGGAACAGATGAGGCACCAGAAGACGCAAGTCTGCGGGCCCAGGGCAGGAAGCCAGCCCTCAGGCCGAGTTGGAGGAGGATCGAGGGCGGTAAAGCCAAGTGCAGCAGGTTCTCGGAGGACAGTTCAGCTGTGTCAGATGCTGCTAGGAAGCCCAGTAAGATGATGCCTGAGCTCTCAGATGTGGTAACTCTGAAAGATTCTGTTGTAGTGACACGACAGGGACAGAGGGTTGAGAAAGTGACAGTGTAAGAGGGGAGGTAGTTTTCAAGGGATTGTGCTCATGAAGGAAAGCGAGAAATGAATCATCAGCTGGCAGGGAACAGGGGTTTTCTTACTTTGGGGGGTCATGCGGCGTGTCTGCGGAGGGTGCAGAGGAGCAGAGTGTGTGCGCACAGGAGCGCTGGGAGCAAGTAGGAATCTCTCTGGCTGCTTTCATTTCCTCCGCACAGGAAGAAGTGGAGCTGTAACTGGGACTTAAAAAAAAAGGAAGTGCAACATAGTTGATACTTTGTGAAACTGACAGCATACAGACCCTTGAAAGTAACAGGACTGCCAACCTGTGCTGAGGCCTCACTTGAAGTTAATGGTCACTGATGTTAAGTGTGGTCAGTGCAATAGTGTATTTTTTCTCCAGTCATAACCAGCTGCTTAAGGAAAGGGAAAGAGAGATTTATTCAAGGTTGGTATTTTGTCTGGAGAACAGAATAGCCTGTGCCAGGTAGTGATGTAGAATCTAAGGAGAAGGAAATAAAATGTGTCAAAGGAAAAAACAGCTGTGATTCCACTGAAGACAAGAAATACTGAGACAAATAAATACCTCGGAGTGACACAGACCATCGGCGTAACTGCAGCAGGGATGGAGTCTCCACGACGATAGTTGGAGACTAACACCCCCGGAGGCTAACACCCCCGTACCTAACAGACACATTAGAACACTATACAATGGGATAGACTGTATTTAGATATCATACACAGTATCTTCTCCGACCACAATAGGATGAACTTAGAAGCAATAACAAAAGTAAAACTAGAAAATTCACATTTTTGGAAATTAGAAAACCCAGAGAGTAAAGAAAACCTAATACTCTAAGACTTACAGGAGGCAGTGCTCAGGGAGAAATATACAAATGTAAACGCTTACATTAAAAAGAAAGGTCCTAAACTAGACCTATAACCGAAGTTCACAACTTGAGGAGGAGGAATAGAAAAAGAGAAAACAAATGCTGGTTATTTGAAAAGACAATGCTTAAATTACTAAAATTAGAAAGTGGGGACATTACTCCTGATTCTACAGAAATGAAAACTATCAATGATTATATATGAACAAGCTGGATGACCTCAATAAAATGGACAGATAACTAGAAACAAAACCAACCCAGAAAATCACTCAGCAGTGTGAAACAGGCTCTGATCTGTAAGGTGATTCTGTCAGTGATGAAAAAGCTCTGGACCCGATGCCTGCACAGGTGAGTTCCATCAAACATTTAGAGGACTGATATCAAATGCTTCTCAAACTCTACAAAAAAACTGGAGAGAAGGGAATACTTCCTGTGACTTAGGAGTCCTCCTATGAGGCCAGTGTATTGCCCTGACCCCAAAACTAACAGGACACTAAGAAAATGACTGACCAATATCCCTTTTTTACATACATGCAGAAATCAACAAACTACTAGCAAGCAGCCCAGCAGCATAGTAAAAGGTGACCAGGTGAGATTAATTCCTGGAAAGCGGGGATGATTCAACACGTGGAAGTCGATCAGTGTAATTCACGTTAATAGAGCGAAAGGAAAAAATACCACCGGTCGTCTCAACTGATGCAGAAAAAGCATTTGACAAAACTCAGCACATTCACAATCAAGACGCTCAAACCAGCACTGTCAGGAAACTACTAAACATAATAAAAGGTACTGAACAGACACCCACAGTTGTCATGATCAGTGGTAAAGGACTGAAAGCTTTTTCTCGACCACCACTGACAGGAGGGATGGCCCCTTCTACTCCATGTGGTCCTGCAAGTTCTGCCCAGAGCAGTCAGGCTGGAACACAAAAGCCATCTAAACTAGAAAGGAAAGAAAAGAGTAAAACTATCTTTAACTATCTTCGTTCGGAGATGACAGTCGTACTAGAAAATCCTAAAGATTTCACACCCCCCAAAAAACCTGTTAGAACTAAGAAACAGATACAAAGTCAATATCCAGAAAACCAGTTGCTTCTATATACACTGGTCCAAAGGGGAAAAGAGTTCCACTAACAATAGCAGCAAAAAGAATAAAAAAGACCTCGTACAATGTAAACTACAGAACATTTCTGAAATTAATAATTATGTAAATTAACACTGGTGTTCCTGGGTTGGAAGACTTAATAATATTGTCAAAAATGTCAGTACCACCAGAGTGTCATCTACAGAGTCAATGAAATCCATGTCAAAATTTCGGTGACATTTTTACAGAAACAGAAAACTCTACCCTAGAATTCACAGGGAACCCAAATAAGCAAAAGACGTTTTGAGCAAGAAACACCCAGTTGGAAGACTCACACGACTTCAAGTTGACTGCAAAGATCCAGCTGCCAGAGCAGTGCAGGGGCGGCACAGGGGCGGCCTTCCAGACTGAGAGGACAGACGACAGAGCCCGGACACACAAGGTCAAATGCTCTCACAGCAGTGCCCAGGCCACTCGTGGGTAAGGAGTCTCAGGAACAGAGGCAGACACTGGCTGTGCACCTGCAGAAGCCGGACCCTTACCTGACACCATACATAAAATTAACTCAAAATGGATCAAAGACCTAAACGTAAGAGTTAAACTATAAAACCTTCTGAAGAGAACATAAGGGGAAGCTGCATGGTGTGGGACTGGCAGTGACTTCTTGGTTACGTCACTAAAGCACAGGTAACAAGGACAAAAGACAAGCTGGACTCGTGAAGATGTAAAGCTTCTGTACATCAAAGGACACTGCCGACACAGTAAAAAGGCAGCTGCAGAGAATGTCGGCAAACAGTGTAACTAGCAAAGGACTAGTCTAGAATATACAGACTTGCAAAAAGTCAACAAAATAATCTGATTCAAAAATGGGCAAAGAACCCAAAAAGACATTTCTTCAAAGATCTACAAATGGCCAATAAACATAGGAAAAGATATTTACCTCCCCAGGTCATTAGAGGAACAAAGATCAAACCATATGGGCCCTGGCTGGCGTGGCCCAGTGGATTGAGTGCGGGCTGCGAACCAAAGGGTTGCCAGCTTGATTCCTAGTCAGGGCACACGCCTGGGTTGCAGGCCAGGTCCCCAATATGGGGCATGTGAGAGGCAACCACACATCGATATTTCTCTCCTTCTCTAAAAATGAATAAATAAAATCTTTACCCCATATACCACCTCACACCATCAGGATGGCGACTAGCAGAGAGATGGGGCGTGGCGGCGAGGATATGGAGAGGCCGCACCCCGTGTCCAATGCGTGTGGGCCTGTGACAGGGTGTGTGGCTGCTGTGGGGAGAGGATGGCAGTTCTTGAAGAAATTAAAAATAGAACCACCATGTGACCCAGCAATCCTACTCCAGAATACACACGCAAAACAAATGAAAAGCAGGGATGTGAACCCGGGAGTCCATCAACAGATTCGTGGGTAAAACCCGGTGTGAACAGAATGGAGTATTTTTCCGCCCTAAAATGCAGGAAATTCTGACACGTGCTACAAGGTGGACGGGCCTTGAGGACGTGCTGAGGCACAAGCAGTCACCAAAGGACAGCGCCACTGCGCTCCGCTCAGGAGGCGGCCCCAGCCGTCTGGCTCCCGGAGGCACACGGAGTGGGCTGGGCTGGGCTGGGCGCAGGGACTGCACAACGTGAGTGTGCTCATCGCCACGGAGCTGTACCCATAAAGATGGTGACGACAGTACCTTTTGGGTCACATTTCTTTTGTCACAATTAAAGAGATTTACTGGACTACCAGAGAAACAGGAGGCCGGGGTCGGCATGGGACGTGTGAAACCCTGACTCTGAAGGTGCCGCCGTCATCGAGAACGACAGTCTGGCCTGTGCCCATGGGACCTCACGGGGGAGGCAGGAGAAGGAAAACCCCAGAGGAGGGCAGGTCTAGGAACTGCAGGGCTGCGTGCTGGGTGGCTGGAGGACAAGGCCGTTAGCAAGAACGGTGGCAGGCGGGGTGAAGAAGAGCGAGCCAGCCGGGGGCGGGGGGTGGGGGGGGCAGGGGTTCCATGTGAAGGCAGTGCCAAGGATCTGGTGAGGTGCACCTGTCCCTGCAAGGTCCCAGTCTCTACTGTCATGCCTGGACACAGCTGACCTTTGTCTCCGTCCTTCCAAAGCCACGAAGCTGTGCTCTACTTCTGTACGGTCTTTGTTATATAAGCCAATTTAAAGGAAAAAATCTGCTAGGTTTCAGATCTAAAGATAAAGCAAATTTCTGGGTAGAGGCAAAAAAAGGAAGTGTCTAAAGCTACATTTCCTGCTGTGAATGGCGCGCCCACAGCTCGGTGCTGTCCCCCCCCACAGCGTGCGTGTCCTAACCTCTTCCCGTGTGTCCTCAGGGGTCCAGGCTGGACGACCAGAGATGCGCTCCACCACCTGCCGCCGCCAAGGGGCCGACGGTACCCGATGAGGACTTTTTCAGCCTTATTCTGCGGTCGCAGGCGAAAAGAATGGATGAACAGAGAGTTCTTTTACAAAGAGATCAAAACAGAGACACTGACCTTGGGCTAAAGGACTATTTGCGAAGCAATGATCCACTAGACTTTAAAAATTCAGGAAAAAAATAAGCAAACCACTAGTTACTATGGGTAGATTTTTAAAAAGCGACCCTATTTCCTTTCAGAACACTGAAAGGAAATTCAACCTATTTCTTTTTCCTTAAAAGGAGAAACGATAGCACTGTAATGTAGCTTATGATGTTTTAGAATGATGTAAATATTTAACCCCTGTGGTCCAGTGTGAGCGAACTCGGGACACTCACGTGCTCCAGGGTGGTGGTGTCTCTCAAGGTGCTTCGTCCACTCGTGTGCTTTCTGCTGGGGACTGTTCTTTGGTGACCTGTCCTATGCTCTCGTTACCTGTGTTGGAAAGTAGAAGCTTAAAGGAATCCTGGAGGACAATTTAATCCCCTTGATCAGATAAGTTTTTTAAAGTCTTCATTGACAATGGCATTTTTAAAATACTTAATCGTCAATGTAGAGAGAAATTATGCTGTCTTGTAATAATGTACTTGAACATGTAAAGTCATATAGTCTCATTAAAAAACAAAAACAAAAAGGTTTACTCCCCCAAGAAAATCTACTTTCAATATATTTTTAGGCCAAAGCCATTATAAAAGAGACTTCAGAAATAAACTTCTTTTTACCACACGTGGGCCCTTCGCTTCATGAAAAAACACAGCCACGAGCCACTCACCGACGGGGACAGGCCCTGAGGAGTGCCCGACGAGCGCGAGCACGGAGGAGGACGTGGCACGCGCCGAGCGGCTGCAGGGCCGACTCCGGGGCGGCGGCGCCGCAGGTGTGGCCACGACAAGGACCCACCCCCGACACAGGAGCAGCCGCTGCAGAACCGCGCTGGGGTGCCCACGACATCACCGGCAGAGGGAACGTTCCAGCTCCATTACAGCCGCTTGCGAGCACTGCCGTCTGAGTGGTCCGCTGCTGACCGAAACGGCGCTGCGTGGCGCGTGACCACGTGTATTCACAGACATAGATACATGCATACATATGTACGATTCCAAATCGTATCCTTTGTTGCAAAATATCGCTGTAAAACTTTTTTAGGTCCTAGTGTTTAAAAAAACCCAGAACTAAATCGTTATGTCAAGAACCTAGCCATGAAGAGAGAAAACAGGTAAAAACACATCAAACTTCAGTACAAAAGATGGAGGTTAGGACCTCAGTGGTCATTCAGCGTCTTCTCAGAAACTAAAGGGAGTTCACGCGGACACCTAGTAGGGCGTGACGGAGCAAACACGACGACAAGGACGGACAGAGCCCGGGCACCAGGCCCGGGCACCAGGCGGGGACCCGTTCACCTCCGGTGCTCCGGACTCCGCACAGCCGGGGCTGGGGGAGGGGCTCTCCCCACAAGTCCTTCAGCTGGTGCCGACGGGCGAGCAGTGAGAACCACTTCTCCAAATAGCCCATGTTTAAAAAAAAAAATGAAGAAAGTCACACAGTCTGGAATTACATTAAGGACTCAGGGTAAAAAAACCTTATTGTCAGAAGTTTCATTAAAAGTACTCAGCCTCTGGATTATGTTATGACTTATATATTCTATATGTGGTATAATGTCCCAGAGTTGCCTTTTAAAAAGTGCACCTATGTTTCACAGGGGGTTTTCTTACAAAAATATTCAATGAGCAAAGACAAACCCACCAGAGCACCATAAAAATAAGTGTTTATTTTGTGTATACGGTAGTTTTGGATCCTGTAAACATTCAGCATTATTCCACTTTAAGATTGCTTTAAAGTCTGTGCCATTCTGAGTCTCCTCAAAGCTTGTCACCGTAATCCTTGACTTCAGCGATGCACATTGGCTAGGAAATCAACAAGTCTCTCTCCTAGCTATAACCTGGCCTGGACATGTCCGACGTGCTCTAGTCAGTCTTCCCTGATCCCTGTCCCCACCCGACAGCAGGCACGCTGTCTTGCTACCTGTCAACGCAGAGCTCACCCCCAAGCGGTCATCCGTAGTGGAGAATACAGAGACAAAGTTGACTGAAACGTCTCTGTGACAGGTTCACTTGGGACTGACGGACAGCAGTCCGGAGCGCAGGCCGCACCAGTCCCCTCTCTCAGTCACGGTCCACCAGCTGAGGCCCCGCCCCTTCAGAACCAACCCGGCCCGGAGGACGGCACCACCTGTCAGTACAGAGGTCCAGCCCCCAGCGGATCGGGTCACACGCATCAGTGTCCACACGCCCATTCCAAACCATGGGCTTCCTGTCATTAGCTCACTTGTTATGGGCCTAGTGCCATAGTTTTACACACAATTTTTGCACTTTTTGGAAAAAGTGACCACCTCTCTGATGAAACAGTAAAGATTTCTGCAACATTAAAGTGGATAGTATTAACACATAGAATACTAAAGGCATCTAAGTGATGCCTGAGGAGCCAAGGAAAGGCGGTTTTCCGCACTCCCTGTGAAGAGCGCGCCAGCAGCACAGCACGGGGGACGCAGGTCAGTACTGCTGCACTGACTGTGCACAGGGCCGGGCGGGCGCTGGGAGCCTCGGGGGCCGCTCCACAACGCGTACGACTGGCTGACCACTGCGCTGTCCACCTGAACCTACCAGAAAATAGTACCAAGTGAAAACTCTAACTGCAAAATAAAATTGGAAAAAAACATATCAGAAAGCGAATGCTCTGAATAAGTCTTTTTCTGAAACAAACACCTGAGGGAAAATTTTAAGAATATTCCTGTCTGTTACTCTTAGTAAGCAGCTGGACATAACTTTTAGTGCGAAGGTTAAAAACAGAGGACACCTAAATGTATGTGAAATTTGCCTTCTAGCTAGGTACCAGCCTAATTTATATAAAATTTTCAGTTTAAAATGAGGAAGAGTCTCAGAAACCAGAGTAAGGTGGCGTGCTGAGCGTGTCGCCTGCCCACAGCTAAGGAGAGCGTCCTGCTCTGCAGTCCCCATCAGGCTCCTCCTCTAGGTCCAGACCTCCAGACACGAGCACTCGCTGTGGCCCCAACAGCGGGGTTCGCTGCCACACAAGCGAGGTGCCGAGGTACCTGATGGTCTCGGCTTCGGGTCTCACAGAGTCCCCGGGCACTACTCCTGGTGGGGAAGGGCAGAGCCACCCTCGGCCTCCGTTCACCACAGACAGCTGGACTGCCACCTCAACCGAGCTGTGTTCTCCGGAGTCCCGGGGCAGCCTTCAGCCTGTCTCCGCTCAGGAAACCGTCACGGGGGCAAGGAGGCGGCACCGTAACGACCGGGAGCCAAGACACGCAGGCAGAACAGGACACCACGGACCCACCGCCCCGTGAGCAGCCGCACAGGGCGTGGGTGCTGCTAACGCGGACGCCACGGCTCTGAGGACGCTGCAGGACACGGAGAGTCACCGTGGCTAAATGGTGTGCGAGAACCTGCTGCTTCTGCAGCGCCGTGCGCAATTAACAGACCAGCCCAACTGAAGTAGCTGCCCCAGGACGTCTCCCAGGCAACACACACTCAGGGTGACCTGGGTCCCCCGTGTGTCTGTAAACATTCAACTGCTTTTTCAATGACCCTAGTTCCATAAGGCTTGAATTATCCAGACTTAGTGATGCCTGCCACAGGGTCACTGATGAGATCCTGTTCCAAAATTCACACTTCAAACTTCGTGGGGTGTGTCTTCACCTCCAGTAGAAGATAAAACAGAGAGAGGGAAAAAGAAAAAAAAAAAAGAAATACATGTGTGTTTGTTAATTCTGATTGTCAGTAAAAATATTAATGTTTATGTTGGCCACTTTGTAGTATCAAGTATCTGTAGTAAATGGCTGTGAAAAATTTATGTCAAAATCCCAACACAAAAAGACCACCTCCAAGCTGTGGTTCGAGTCCGAGTTCCTCTAGACACACGGGCCACCGGGCGGGTCCCTTCCACCTGCTGCTCCTGCGGCTCCGGCAGCCGGGCCTGCCGGGCTGGCGGGGCTGGCGGTGCTGCCCTCCTCGGGGCTGCCTTTGGCATCAGTCTGGAGCTGGGCCTTCCCTGCTGCTGCCGAGCCGTCCACGCTCCCTGAGGCCTCCCGGCCAGAGGCGAGCTCAGGGGGCCGGCTGCCTGCAGTGCTGCTCTCCGAGGGTGAGCGTTCTCCTGGGCCTCCACCAGTCCTTCTGGGCTAGAAAGTACAGAGTACATTTTGTTTCAGTTGTTTAAGTGACACACTGGGAAGGCTACTAATCACGCCTAACTGGCTTCTATGCAACGCTGAATTCATCCGGAGTGCCGGACTGTAAAGGTGTAAACACCCAGCCTCATGGAACCGTGCTGGGCAGAGTGGGACACGACGAGCCCCCTGGTCAGGACCAGGGACCCGAACTGCTGACTCCTCCTGCCTGGTGAGAAGACAAACACTGTCTGAATACATGCTGAGTTCTGGGTGCTGGGGACACCGCGGGAACAGACCAGACAAACCCGGGCCCTGCTGGAACGTACTTGCAGGTCAGGGAGAGAACCCCGGGCAACAAACTAACAAACAAAGCATCGCGCCGTAAGTGGGCTGGGGGCAGTTGGGGCCCGTGGGCTACGCCGGAGGAACGGCTCCGGGTCATGAACAGCCAGCACCAAGGCTCCGAGTTCAAGGACTGGTCAGGAGTGGAGCAAGCGAGGAGGGGCCATGCAGGAACAGGTGGGGTGCGGGCAGACAGCGGGGGCCCCAGGCCACACGGCAATTTGGCGTTCAGGCTAAGTGGAGTGGGACGTCACCGGAGGACTCCTGAGATGACTGTCAGATCCACGTTCACTACAGAAGCCGGAAGGACGCCTCCACGTTCTCCAGACCCACGCAGATACCTGTCCGTATACTAGCTCCATCGAAACGGGGTCTAATTCCTTCGGCTCTATTGTGTTCATAGCTACTTTTCAGGCTTTTACACGTGCAACTTAAACTTTGCAAAGGACAATACAAATCCCTGTCTCACACAGAAATGGGAATGTGCCTTTAAACAGTCGAAATGGTGGGGGGAAGTCCTCACATCCTGCAGGTCAGAAGCACAGTGAGGCCGGCCAACGATACCGATTTGGGAAGCCGAGGTTCTAGGTCCCCCGCCTCCTCTTCCAGCTGCGACTCAGCTCTGCTCTGGGCTCCCCGGGGCTCAGCCTCCCCCGGGGCTCCCTTCTCTCTGTCTCTCGAATGCTCACTGGTGGTCTCCTGGGAATTCCCATCTGTGCTAACAAACTGCCATGAAAATCCGGACTAACTCCTGACCACAGCGAGGAGGACAGCGCGTGCATGACCGGACCGCAGTGACAGAGCAGGGCAGGTCAGTTACCCACAGGTCTACAGGGAGCACCGAGGCCTCGAGCAAAGGCACAGAACACGAACCGTCGCTGACTTACACTGGACACCACCTCGGGGCGCTCTCGCGTCTCTGTGTCTGGCAAGTCACATGCCCGGAGCACTTCGGGGCTCAAGTGGCCAGTGTGAATTCTCAAGTCAGCATCTCTCTCTCTCAAAACTCGTCTTTTACCCTCAGACGTTCTGTCGTAAGGGCCTTGCTCAGGGGGGCCGATCTGGCCCCCACAGTAAGAGTCTGCATCACCTGCTCCACCACTGGGTCTATAATCGATTCTCTGCTGCTGGCGCCGGTCACCTGGCTGAAGGGCCTGGGGCGGCTCTCTTCCTCGACCACCTAAAGGTCTCAGCAGTAGAACTGAGTTCCCAGCACCATAGCAGAAACCCTAGAAGGA